ATTTGGCTGGGTGAATCAAATTATACTTTCCAATGCCACTTCAAATCAGGATTGCGACGTCTGCGCTCATTTTCGGGGTAAGTGTTACCATGCAAGTTATTTTCTTTGATATTGACTGTATGTGGGCAAGCGAGGAATTTAGGTTTCTTTTAAGTTTTGTTCCACAGGAAAGACTGAAAAGTTTTAGAGATTTGTGAGGAGACTAATTAGAAGCCATTCCGTTTTAATGGCCAGGCTTTCACACTGAAATGGATAGGAGACTACGTTCTGCCCTTGCAAGGTAGAGATTTTTTCTTCCAAGTAGCTATCTGATTTGGGAACCTCATTCTTTCATAACGCCATGTGTAGTGATCAATCAGATGTAATGATCAAAAGGAAGTTGGCCTCAATCAATCCTGATAAACAAATAACTGCTATAGTGGCAAACCTAATGTGTTCTTCACTCTAAATTCACTTGCCAATAATTGGCCTCATTAACGTCTGTGAAGTTAGCTGTTCACTAAAATTGGGCAAGCTGTACATTAGATGTGTTCAGTGGTTTGCAAACCTTTGGGAATAATAGACCTATTGAATCAGCATCTTGCTAGCTTCATGGAAATGAACAAGCTAAAAAGTAAGGCGAATGTAAGAGATCTACACAGAATGAAGGAAAGACCAGGAAATCTCTATCGTTCTTTTATCATTAATGTTCTCTTCCTTGAGCTAAATATAAAATGAGGGCTAGCTTTGCACCTTTTATAATGATTTCATTTTGACAGAAAATGAACCTGATTTCTTTGTGCCATCTAGCTTTTGAATTACCCAGCCCACATCTGTCAGATGTTTTTGTTGTTCAGTTATAAAACTGTATCCAGACTGGATTATGAGAATGCCGTTCGCAGGCACCATAACCACAGACGCCCTTGGGTTGAACATCAGGCTCACTGCAATTTTACCAAAGAAGGAAACGCACTTCCAGCTGCCGCACTAGGCCCATCCTTCTTGGAGAGAGGATCACAGCAAGTGAGCCTTTGCTAGGATATCAGAAATATGCATTTGGGGAGATGGGAGACAGCAAGAAGAGTGGAAATAGAGTGCATTCCCTTCCGTTCATCTGGCCTCTTCCTACAGAAATGGCACAGCGGACAGTGAATAAAACTATTTCATTTGCCTGGAGGTGAGGAGGATTTTTTTCTGGCCCTGAATTACCCTACATGTCAGCACTACCAACATTCACTAATAACATTCCATTTCTACTTCATTTTTGTTCCTATATAATATCTGTGAGTCACGAGGAAAAACAAATTGTATTTGCTTTCCAGTCTAGCTTTTCTTCCTTAAGAGCTAGCCAGAGAAAGTTTCACGTGATTCTGTTTGTCAAAGAAGCTTTAAATATTTGCAAAAGACAAGAGGATCTCACTGGATGACTGCTTTTCTAGCCAAATGAGTATCAACCCATGTTCTACTTATCACCCTTTCCCTTAGCCTTTCATCTTATGGTTCCTATCCACCCACTTGTTTATAATTTGCTTAATTACAATGATTTTTAATCATGTCCACCATGATCCAAGATACTGGCTTTGCAGATCCATAATACTGCAGTGGCTTCCTAATTAGTTTTACGGCTCAGACTCTCAGCCCCATTCCTAGCCACCCAGCCCTCTCCCTTACAGTGCATTCTCACACAGCAGCCCCAGGAAGCTCTTGAAATGGAAATCACGTTTTATCGCTGTCTTGCTTAGAGACTTCCTTGTGACTTTCCATTGCATTTGGAATAAACTTGGCCCCTTGTGGGATCTGTGTCTTCTGACCTTGCTTCCCACACTGCTCCTGTATCATTCTCCTGCAGCCCACTAGCAATCTACGTCTTCCTCAGATCCACTGCGGATTTCTGCCTTAGGGCCTTTTGGGTCGTGCTGTTACCCTTTCCAGGAATCCTCTTTGCATAGCCCTTTTCATGCCTGGATTCTCCTCATCCTATGGTTCCTGGTCAAATACTGCCTAAGAAAAGCCATCTATGCCACCTTACTTTACCCTCCCATTCCTCTTTATCAAGTCATCTTAGTTATTTTCTTCTTCAAACATCATTATTTCAGATAAGCTGAGTTTCCCTTTTGTCCATATCTCCTCTACTAGAATGCAAGTTCACCGTGGGCATACACTTTCTTTGTCTTAGCCACCACCACAACCCCAAGTTCTAGTAATGTTCTGGTAATGTTCTGAACTGAATTTCATGTTCCAGAACTGCTTTATTTTGAAATATGCAAATCTAATATTAGAAGCAGCAGTTCCCCCTGTTAATTCCCTTGACTCTTCCCAAAATACGGCATTCTGCATAAGAATCATTTTTCCAAAATGAAAGAACAACTTGGAAAATTAAAGAACAAAAAAGCAAAACAAAACTCAGGCACATCAGAAAACCCTAGGCTGTTTTCTTTCTCATTATAAGGAAGACAAGGTTCACGAGAATAAGCAGCAGGGCTTGATTCTTTAGAAGTCGAAAATTAGATCAAATGAATTGGAGGACAACTACAACTAGTGTTAATGTTTTCCTGCTCGAATGAAGAAAATGAGATGATGTGAGCCATGACTCTATTCGAAAATGAAACTCTGAATTTCTGTTTACTTCCACTTTGAAGCACATTGTTTCTCATTTTATACTTTTCATGATGGTAAATGTTGTGATATTTTAAATTCCTTAGGCTCAGGCCCATTTACTGTGTGCAAGCAAGACAAACACAGATATGTTGTCTTTATAAAGTGTAATTTCTAGTTACACAATAAAAAAACGAGACTGAACCAGAAAGCCAAGTCTGAGGATCCCTACCAATAGTGTATTAAAAAGTAGACTTGGACAAAAATTCTCCACTCTTAAAATGTATAATTTATATACTATTATGCGTTTATTGTAACATTCTAATCATTCAAGAACAGACTAGGTACCTGACCCTAACTCATCACATGCAGAAAAGGCTTCAAATATGAACTTGGACTAATCAAATTTGATCTATGTCTTTGCAAAATGTGATGTATAAGAAACTGGATTTTGCTAGGGACTCTGTGTTGACCTCTGATCAGCTGATTATAGAAGCCAGCAGCAAAGCCAAAATAGAGTAACAACTCACAGTGAGATGACAGTGAGCAAGTGTCTTTAAACTTATAATTGTCCCTAGATCAAGTTAATTTAGCTTTAAAACAGGAGACAAACGGTTACATGGAGCAGGTATCAGTTATGACAAGAAGCTGACCGTGATCATTTTGTTGTCCTATGTCCACTGGAGGACTTTTTCTGCCAACACTTTTCCTATGATGGCTATTAAATTTTATAGGATTTCCCCACCATTAGCTGTAATGGCATTTGCATGTTAAATGCTCACAACAAATGAAAACCACGATTTCATTGTTTCACAGGGTGAGAACCACAGTTACTGCTATTCTGAATGAAGAACAGATCTAAAAAGAACCAAGTACTTCCTCTTCATTGTATGATACCTATATCAGCTCTGTGGGAAAGTCCATTTACTCTATAGCTCTTCTATTTTTGAAACAAGATAGATTTTCTTTGCACATGTAGGAAAACCTGAAGATTTCACAATAAGCCAAGCGTAAGACATCTCAAATGTTATTTTCGTCCAGGAGATTTGTTTACAGTTAAGCATAATTCCCCCTCAAGTGTATTTACCTAGGAAGTTATCCTTTCATGGCATTACAAAGGAAAAATACTTGTGGTTGTTTTAGTAAATGAAAAAAAGAGACAAAATTCTTTAGGACATGTATTAAAAGCAACACAAATGGTGGAAACTACACAGAAGGCATATATTGAGGATTTCTTAGCTAATTTTATTCTCCAAGAAAATTCAGCAGCTTGACCAGAAAATTTTAAGATTTATTGTCCCAGATTGTTATTCTGAATTATTAGTGTTCTATAGCTCTAGCAAAGTAAGATATAAGAAACTATATTTGTAGTTCTCCTAAACTATTAAAATGTGCAACTGCTCGATCATTCTGAATCTTTTTAATTTGGTTTGGCTTGCTCGCCATCTCGCTATCACGGGTAATTTTCCAAGGCACTGTCCCCTTCACCTAGACTAGCAGTGAAATTTCAGGACACGCTATCCATGAAATGCCCTCTCAAGGACTCAGCTGTTGTGAGAATGTTTCAGACATGAAAGAGTCTCAGTAAATAGTTAAGATAACCAATTTCCAAACCTCTGAACCTTCATTTTAACTTGGCCTCTTCCTGGTGTGTATTTGAGCTTTTTTCATGTTTCTCCTGAATATATTTATACCAAAGATTTCTGACCCATAATGGGACCCCATGGAAGAGCATGAATACTTGGAAATTTTATATAATTTCTTATTAAGGACGTATCCTTGGAATTTGCTCAAGCAGGTATTTTGGAATAGCTAATTTAAAGGTTACCTTGTCATCTTTTTCTTCTTTATTTTCCCCTGTCCCCTCCTCCTCCCATCCATACCCTGGACTATCCACCAAAAACAGAAAAAGGGGAACAGAAGTTATGCTTGGTGAGGGATGCAGACCATGAAATTCATTCCTTCATTCAGCGGGTTCATGTGTGCTCTGACAACAGATTTTTACCTCTTATGGCAAGGATCACCAGAGATCTGTGGTACATCACAAAAGCTTACCCTAAATTGCCCAAATTTGAGAAAGTGGGTAACTTCCCAAAAATCTGGTCTGGTTTAGGGGTGTGAGGGAAAATAATATACGTACTGTTGGCAACCCTACACCACACACCCATTCCTGTGTAGTGATAAACATTAGTTTTGGCAGGCATTAGTTTCCTTTCTCTTACTACACACACTCACTCATGTGAACTTCCCAGCAACTGAGAATGAAAATGCAATGGGCTCAGAACACTGGTGCACAACTAACTGTGCTACTTCGGAGAAATCCCTTCACTTCTCCATGATTCAGTTTCCACACATTTCTGGAATCAAAAATGATCACCATAGCCCTGACTGTACTATCCTCCGACCAGAAAAATGAGTCAAATACCTGAGATTATAATTCACTTTATTCTAGCATTAAATGCATAGTCACAAGACTTATTCCCCACTGTTTGCTCTTTCCTAATATCCTTGCCACAGGTATTATTTTCCAAAGTACTTCAAGAAGCTTTTCACAACTCATTTTTCACAAGGGCCAAGTAACCTCTATATCCTGTTTGTACAATGTTCTCTTCTCTTATGCGGTATAATTACCCAGCCTAAAAGCATCCCAAATACTGTGTTACCTCAACCACCTCTGAATTAGAAAACTGAATCATTTGTTATTATGGTGGAAAGCTTCCTATAGCTCTGGGTTTATCTCACACTATATGGTGAAAACACTGATACTATTGAAAACAGAAACTGTTCCACTGTTGTTTTCATTTTATCTAATGGACACAGAGGAAAATCTCAGCTCCAAAGAAGAAAAGGGCATAGGCTTGAATCATAAGAGTGCTACTTGTTACAAATTTTAAGGAAACAGTTCAGTTAAGGACACTATGCAGGAATGTCAAATACACTTAAACATTTAAACATAGTATAATTTCTCAAACAATGACTGGTTATCTGCCATTGGTTTCCTTAGGGCACTGCATATATTAACACAGTAAGTCACAAGTAGGTATAGATATACAGAGTTGCATGCTTACTAGCCAAGCCATGACATAGAAAGTTACTGGTGTTACATGACATTGACCAAATTGCTGCTACACCCCCAAAAGATTGCGCTGGCAACGGCACTGGTCTGAGGCATCAAATCCCCAGATATTGGTTCATTTTATTTAAGGCATCACACACTGTGTTCAGATCACTGCGGAGGTCCTGAACCACATTTTCAATACTTCTGGTGTCTTTCAGAACTTCAATGCTCTGCGTGTAGGGATTGAAGTACACTGAGAAGGGACGGGTAATTGACTTTGCAAAGTCCCTGCAGAATGAACAGAGATAGGATATGTGATCAGCCCCCATTGGTACAAGAAGCAGAAGGAAGGAAATAGAACCAGAAGAATAAGAAGCTATTTTCTATAGATGGATAAAAGCAAGTTTACCTCATCTTTTCTTTGGCTTCTTCAAAACTTTCTGAAACAAAGTAGGCTTCCTGGAAGGTGGTGATAAGGCATTCCTGTAAGCAGGTTGTCTTCGGGTCAAAGGCTTTCACACATGCTTTGTCAGAAAGAGCATGCTGCAAAACATACCACAAAGCCCGTTAAACCCCATAATGAGACTCCTGAAGTGCCATGACCTCACATTTCTGCAATGCACATGAGAGCTCAGTAATCCCACTGCACTGCTCGGCTACTAGTCTGCCATGAAATAGAGAGCTCCTCCATGTGCTGAGCAAATGGAGTGGTAGAGGATTTTGTATGTTTATTTTGCTTTTTGATATCTGTTAACTGCCGAGGGGGAAATAAGATTATAGTGTTATTTTATTTATTATCAGCCAAATTCATACTGAAGGGCAGTTCAGAGTTATACCCCAACAGAAATGGAATTTTAAGTCTCTGCCTATGAATAGAAGCAGGAACCACATAAATATGTTCCTAAATTTATTGCTATAAGCAATCCACTGAAATTTCATTTAAATGGCAGAAGTAATAATTACCTGCGTAGAGAGGTAATTGGGGCCTCTCACTGAACTATTTGTGGACTCATTGCAAGACATTTTGAGGCCAGGTACTATGCATCAACAGAGTGTGGAGTCGGCATGTATGTTTGAGGATACGTGCAAAGCATTCATTTACCTTGCATCAAGTACAGCAGAGCAATATACAGGGGATAAATATTGCCAGTTGGGAGGAAAAAAGAACTAATATTAATAGTTATACCCAAAGCAGGCATTAGAAAAGCAGGAAAACTGGTGTAATTACCCTCTGAATCATAATTAACTCTGCTCAGTTCACTATATGAGCAACACGAAGAACAGCAAGGAACCATAAATGACATAAGACTATATGACTTCAAGCTAAATTCAGCGATGTTAACAGTTAGTTCACATTTTCTGCCACACGCTACCAGCCCATGTATGACCATATGCATATGGGTCTTAAACATACTATACATAAGAATATTGAGAAATTTATAAAAATGCAAATTCCAGGCTTTATTTTATTCAGTAGGTCTAGATAAAACCCATGGATCTGCATTTTTAAAGGCACTCAAGGTGCCTCTGATGTAGTGGCTGTGAACTATATATTTTATGAACCATATTTTGAGAAATGCTCCTGTGGATTCTGTTCTTAATGTAAGGGGAGAAAGAAAAGGGGTAGCAGAATCTGTCTTGAACTAAGAGTGAGAAAGCCGAGACTGTGCCACTTCTGTCTAGCTGGGTAACGCTGGTAAATGATTTATCCTCCGGGGCCTCCACTCCCTCAACTGCAAATGACAGGTTTGGCCTGGATGACTCTAGAGACTGTCTAAACCAGCCACTGGATTCCACCCAAAACGGTTTTCTGCTCTCTCAGTCTCTAACAGCTAGGATATCCTGGAAATTTTTCCAGAAAAACTTTCCCAATCAATATTCTTAGTACATTCCCACAACAATTTCAAAATGCATGGAATGATTTACAGCCCTGTGTGAAGAAGGCTCTGGTTGCCTAAGCCAGAAAACACATTTGAGCACCAAAGACAGACGTGCAGAAGAAGGGGCACGCGGGGCCCCCTGTGTGTGGTGTGCTTTGCTGCAAACTTCCATTGTCCAGACCAGTGCATACATGAATCGCAGAATGTGGAAGCCTTCCCAGAGAAAACTCATTTTTATTTCTGGAGAACAACTGTATTATAAAGCAGAAGGTTGCTACACCTGCAATTGCGTTTGTGCTAGCTTCGATACAATCCAGCAAGCAACAGGAGATTTTGGTTCCACACGACCAGCAATTCTGTCCACATTTTTAAAACAACTTCACAGTTTCAAAAAACAAGACATCCTCGGGTGGCAGGTACTGCTCCTCTGCAAGACAACGGCATCCTGCAAAGCATCCTATTGGCTCGCTGTGGTTTTCAGAATTAGAAGTCACTTTCTGCATAGCCATACCTGCAGTTTACATTTAACTATACTGTGTTCTTCTAATTACCCGTCCATTCATTGTGCACATGGAAGGAAGGACGCAAGCTAACTCAGTGTCCTCAATCTTTCTACTCTCTCAGCCCTGCGTTCAGGAGCACAGAGTTGTAGCAAAGCCAGTTGCAAGAACATTTAAGCCATAGTTCCTCTGAGACATCCTCACTGAGCCAAAGACTTTTCACCAAGTCAAGGACACTCACAGAAAAGAAGCGAAGCTCATCTGCATGGGCCTCCAGTGTTTTTACAGGACATTAGCAACCTCAGCAGTCACTGCCTGATGCCACTAGAAAGTGCGTGTGTGATTACTGAAACTGGAGTCATCACGTGACAATTCCCCTGGAAATTCAAAGGACTGCATTTAGTCATTTAGCAGGCAAAGGGGATTAGAGTAGACCAATAAAAGGCCCAGAGGGCATGGACTTCAAGACTTCAAGAAAAATCACTGGCTTCACAGCATATACTTTGAGGCAAGCACCATTAGGTTAATAGAAATCACATTTACCTAATGTACTATCCAAAGGAAAAGCTGGAAGTTGATTGTGTAAAGCACTCAAACAGGCAGCTTATTATCAGGTATCTGCTGTATGATATGCTGGTTACCGGCTGGGGACCTCCCCACACACAGGGTACGGCACCACTGCTACTCCTCATCTGCTAACGAGTTCAGGTTACTATGCTGTCCATGGACTAGCCTGGAGAACGGCAGGAGCCTGGGGTTTATGGGGCAGCCAGTAAATGAGACCAGCAAACAGGTCGTACCTACACCTATGAATGGTCTCTTTTACCTGATGCTGAGCTGACTTGTGTGACGACTACCAGGAATATCCATGCTGCCCACTAGGTATCCTATCTCTTATACCACACGTGGCCTCTGGGCTATAAAATAGCATCCATCCCTCAAGTTCCCAAAGCTCAGTAAAGAAACCCTATGTTTTGCTTCTCAGCTCCTCTCCATGTGTCTCTGTAAGCCACCTCAGTTTGGGGAGCACCTATTGTGCCTTCTTACCTAGGTGAAGACTGAATTCTCTATTGACCCAACTACTTTATATCCCTGGTGGCACTCTTGCGAATCCTCAAAATATTAGCCATCAGAAATCCTAAAGTCCGCAAGAATTACTCCAACTTCCAGCATAGAAGTTTTACAATGCTGGCAGAATCTGGCTGACAGTCTTTTACTCTTGAGCCTTTTCAAAAGTACAAGAATACCTGAGACGCCCCCTCTCCTATCTGAACACTCTAGCTTGGCTTTACCCGTAGTGCTAAAGACAGGCACACAGGACTGGAACCAGAGATCTGAACTCTTAATGCTGTTGCCACAGAGTCCAGATATATGACATCAAATGGGTGAAATGACCTCAGATTGGGCTGTAGTTTCCTCTTTGATAAACTTGAAATATTGATCGACATGAATTCTAAGGCTTTTCCTGCAATACAATATTAATAAAGCCTGTAAATACCCACCACTGATACCTGCTCCACAGCAGCCAGGATAAATTGACTGTAGCACTTTTGCCCCAGTCCTGGGGCAGGCCTTGCTGTCCTTCCCCACTCAAGAGGCCACTACAAACTGGCTGGCTTTAGTGGACAAGTTAAAACTCATTTGCCATTCCAGCCATTTAACTATAAAAATCTCCTTTCAGCTTCAGAAATTTCCCAGAACCCAACTGTTAGTGGATAATACTATAAGGTCATTAAGACTACAGGTCTTTAAGATAAAGAATGGCAGCTTAAATCTGGCTCCAGCCCTTCCTCACTCTGTGACTTCGGGCCAGTTACTTGCCTCTACAAGCCTATCCTAGTATTCACCTGGAAATTGGGAAAACGAATGCCATCTATCACCGAGGATTGCAGTCAGAATTAAAGTAAGTAGTGCATGAGAAGCACTCATCGGAGTTAGTTTCCCTTGTTAATTCAGTTCAGAGAGGAAGTTTAGTGTACACTGTGTCCAGCCAGATATTTTACCAAGTATGCAGGCCTTTCCTCACAGGAGTCTCAGGCCCTCGGAGGGAGAGCACAGCCCCAGGTATAAGGCTTCCAGGTACCAGCCTGCAACAGTACCTACCCTGCCTCATCAGCTTGAAGTTCCCTTGCCTCCCAAACACCTGCCTTTGCGATGACACAGAGTTATTATCTCAACTGCTCTGGATGTCAACCCTGTGATCCTCACTCTCTATATCAGGACTGGTTAAAGTTGGAAAGGAAAACTTAAGTGTGAAGTCAGGTTTCTGGGTAGTTTGGGACCTAGATTCCGAATAAGAATTTGCAAACACTCCTACACTCACAGCATGATCATCTCTTCCCACATCAGAACAACACATTTCTGCAGCAGTGTATGTGTATGCGCGTTACCTGTGCAAGTGTGCAATGCTTTTTGAACCTCTCTCACACACTCAGCCTTGTACATCAATATTCCAATTGCTAAATGGGGCAGTGAAGCAGCACACTTATTTTTCAATTGGTGATGCCAAGTTCTGACCAGTTTGAATAAGATGCATGGCAAGAAAACAGCCCCCTTCAAGCAATGCCTCTTAAGGCTGAAAACACAGCCCAGCCGCCGGTCCTCCAGCACTTGCCCTATCATTACTAGCAGTGGTGGCTTTGTGAAAGGGAAGTGAAGAGAGGCCTAAGCTACCTGAGCAAATGTGTGGGGCTCAGAAGCAATGCATCCTGACTCTAGCAGCACTGTTGACCTCCTAGATGGCCTCAGAGAAATTGCAAGCCTCTTGAGGCTCTTCTACACTGCCAGGCAGTAATTCTGACCACCTCCCAGCACCACTGGAGGGGTAGTAAATACAAATGCTGGTAATAAATAGAAAGCTGTTCTGAGAATGCTGATTAGTAGTTGTATAAGGGCAATACAATAAATTCATTGTGCAAGGACATCCTAAAACTAAAGCCAAAAACTAATCATTAAATTTGGTTAGAGCCCCAGCCTCATCAAAACCTAAAAGGCAAAACAGATATATTTATATATATTATTCCAGCAAATACTGCTAAGACCACTTACAAAAAAAAAAAATCTAATCCCTGGCTTGACAGAAATAAGGAACAAGACTTTACTTCACCTGTGAAAAAGAAGCAGAATTGCTTTTTGCTTTTGAATGGGAGAAAAATTTGAGACTGATAATTCATTGACTAGCAATCATTTCCTTACCATCTTATGAGAACAAATTTCACTGTTGTTTCTCTAAACGAAGCGGGTTCAAAAAAGATCCATATAAACCCCCTTCTTAGAACTGGACTCCACATTCCTTGAAATCTTGGGCCATGAATTTTGTGTTTGGTGGAAAAAAATCAATGAATGATCAAGAAAATATAGATGAAAGGGGCTGGGGATTTAGCTCACCGGCAAAGCGCCTGCCTGGCAAGCGCAAGGTCATGAGTTCGGTTCCCGGTACCGGAGAAAAACAAAAAACAAAAAACAAAAAACAAAAAAAAAGAAAATATAGATGAAAAATTGATAGATTTATATGGTTAGAACAACTGTACGGTATAGAGAATTAAGGTGTGAAAAAGAAAGAAATACGCTAGACTGTGGGTAAATGGCCATCAATTACCCTACTTTCAATGTTTTCAACGTCAGTTTTCCAGACGATATACCTCATGATTGACGGCTCTCTCAGTGATAAGAGGGATGAAAACAAAAAAGAGACCATTGTTGAGGGTGGGAGAAACTATAATCTTTATGGATATCAATTTTATGTTAGCTTTTGTAAGAGTTTCCATATTTACTTTGCTTTTGTCTTCAAAGGTAAAAACAAGTATTGTCCAAAAATAGGGCAATACAAAAGTTATCCTCCAAAAACACCCCCTGGGAAGCACATGGCCCACCCTGAAGAGCAACATCTGCGCCTCAGGAAAATTTAACCTCTTACAACACAAACTTCAGAATGTGCTCTATTCCAGGAGAGAAGAAGAATCATGGATACTTCTGTGAAAGTTATAAAGGCTACACCAAAACCCTCAGCAACTTAGCTGGGCCCTACATTTGAGCAGCCGCAGGAATAGCATAAAATATTTTACCATAAAAGGTAACTGCATTCAAAACTGCAAGTGTATTTACAAAGGAATTATGATAATGTTATTAGTTATCCCATTCAGAGCCATTGCTTATTCATTCAAGTAAAAATTAGAAGCTAATTCAGAATTGCTGCCAGAGGGCTCTGGGCAGGCAAGGGGCAGAGGGCAGTGCTACGGAAAGTGTCTCATGTTACATATTCTCCGCAAACAATCAGAAGATATTTCTCATAGAATGAGTTTCTAAACTGGTAAAATGATCCAAAGGCGCGATCATAAGGAAGTTGGAGTGGTGGAACGGGAGAACGGAAGAATGCTAATGATGGGAGGTGATGGACCAGAACCAGAGGACGCACCGCGGACAGTGCCCTTCGGTGTACATATTTCTGGCTGATTTCCATTTCTAGACAATTCTTTCTACAGCAATAGGAGCAGAAACAACAGATTCACCCCACTGCTGCCTGCACATGCCTCATTAACCAGCCCAGAAGACCCTGTCAAAAGTTGGGGGCCCTGAGAGAGATTTGTTCCCTTTGTTCCTGGTATAATGTATAAACCACCTGAGGAGAATGTAAATAGATGTCGCTCAGGAGCTACATGGCCTTCTGACCAACCCCCTTTCAGGGAAATCAAGAAGCACTCCGCAGAGTGCGTGGCCTTATGGGGATATGACATCATGCTATTACTGTGGGCTTCATGGAGAATAAACCCAAGTGCATTTTTTGCTGCAGATTTATTTTTTAAAAATGTACCACATTACACCAGGCTTCTGTTACGTTGACCATTGTTCTCCACTCCAGCCATCCTGAGCCTCAGCTCATTCCAGGCTTTGACCAGTGTTCAGGAGGCACACACTGCTGTCCACTGAGCTATGCATCCCATTCCTTCTTATCTACTCTTCTGGTCCCTCAAGAACCAGCTTGGGCAGCAGGGTCCTCGTCAGAAAGATGAGGCACAGCCGAACATGTGCCAGGCACATTTGTCAGACTTTTCCTATTAGCTGGTTAGGTGTTTATCGCTTACATAAGACATCAGCTCTCTGGATAGAAGGTTCTGAGGCCATACAGCCTAGTGGTGAAGATCCTAGTGGTCAGGTCCTAGGGCCTAGACTGCCCAGATTTGGGCCCAGCTCCAAGATTTATTAACTGGGTGCCCTTGGACAAGTTCTTTAACATATTTATGCCTCAGTTTTCTCATCTGTGATAAAAATATCACTCATCTCATTGGGTTGATGTGAAGATTACATGGGCTATTATGTCTAAAGCACCAAAAATTCTAAGGTCTATTTAAGAGTTTATTAGGATTGCTTTGTTGTTTCACTCTTATTCTTCGGCATTGGCATTGCCCTTTTCATCCCCAGTGCCTGGCACAGTGCATGGCACATTTGAAGTGCTCAAATTTTCAAAGGATGAACAAATGAATAAATGGAGTCATAAAACAAGTGATAAAATGACAGTGAAATTGCATCTTTCAAGAATACAAACAATGAGAAAGTTCCAATCACAATATGCTTACCAATTATATAAGGATAATCATGTCTCAAAACAAAGACCCTAGAACAGTCTATAATCCTGATCATATTCTAACTAATCAAAAAAGATTAAATTATTTTCAGTGCCATTTCCAGATTGATTCTCACATTGCATTCTAAATTCATTGGGAATTTGCCATTCCCCAGTGGTATATAGATAATAATTCTTAAATTTCCAGAATATTAAAATTATTAAAGGTACCAGGACTCACTAGTTCTGAATAAATGGTCATTTTACTATATTTTAAAGCAAAAAAAAAAAAAAAAATAGCATTCTCTAGGTAGGACTTACAGATATATTAGATACCTCTTTGACAATACACTTATTTAGCTTGCTTTTTCAGATTGTGTATGTTCACAACTGGTTTGATGTGCATCAGTTTTGAAGAAGCTGAAACAACCTCAAGCTCCCCTGTAGGAGGTAGTTGCTGGGAAACTGACGGGAGCTATGAGGGTGACAGAAATGAAAAGTATCCACGCCGTCCCAACCATCCCATCAGTAGGCTCGCTGCCGGCTTCTTGCCCCAATTCAGCACTAAATTTAGGGCGCGCATTTGTTCCCCAACTCAGAGCACACATTTGTCATTCCTGTTGATTTGTGCACATGGCTGCTCATCCACTGGAGTCACACGACAAACCCGGGAAGGCACGACCCATTTTCAGAAGTGCAAAAAGTTAGGTCAGCACCCACATCCGAGGTGCCAAGTCCTCCCTATGAAATATGTATGGGGCATGTGTGAGAAGAAATGCCTGCACAAAGAAATCAATATTTTCCATGACCCTGAACCAGCCTGCTCAGGAAGGATATTTTCATTCACAGCTTCATACCTTTAATTCTCCGATGGAAGAAAGCAGTCCTGCTCCATAGGCCCGCAGTTGCCCTTCTTGCTTACAAAGGCCAAACTCGATTGTGAAGAAATAGCACTGGAGGAAACAAAAAGTGGACACACATTCTGTGAGCTGGCCAAAGTAAATTCTTAGTTATAATAAAATGATACCCAAGATACGATGTTACTCTGTGCATAACCCGTTCAACATTATCAACTTAAAGGTTTTTAAATCAAGATATTCTTTGAAACCTGTTCTCTTACTTAGTAATCCTTGCCTAAGTTTAAGGTATACGAGAAAAGTATTAACTGCTGAAAATTTTATGGTTCCTGGCTTCACAAATCCTACGGATCAAACCCTATCCCCTGCAAAAAAAAAAAAAAATAAGTAAAAAGCACAGATTTAGAAATGCATGAGTGTGTTACAATGATAACACTGTAAGAACATCCCACTATACTTAACAAATTATGTTTCAGTGACATAAATAAGTTCATGCAAATGTGGAAACGTAAGGTGAAATTCAGTCATCTCAATAATTTTTATAATTTGTTTATTCATTTGACAAACATTTGCTGAGTACCTACCAGGCGCCAATGTTTGGTAAAGAATTGTAAACAGTATCACCCCCCAATCTGTCATGCCCCTTTATGTTAACTTCTCCACTAACCTCTGGTCCCTAGCAACACTTTTCTGACCTCATCTCTGTCATTTTGCCTCTTTAGGACATCAGATGAATAGAGGCATCCCATACGCAGCTCCCTGAGTCTGGCTCTGTGACTCAGCACAACATACAGGAGAGTCATCAATAGTCCTCCCTGAGCTTGAGGGTGTCTGGATGTTGGTGAGCGTCCTGCTAGTCTGGTGTTGAATACTGTGCACAAGCCGGTGTAGGAGAGTGTATGGAGCGTGCACGGTGAGATAGTCAGGAAAGGACACAAAAGAATCCAAAGAGGAAGTTTTCGAGTAATTGAATAAGAGTGTTTGGGGTAGGATTTTAATTTATTGTACTCACTAAGTAGCTGTACTACATCATTTGCTTTAAAAAAAGAATAGTGGTAAGCAAAAAGACCAAGAAAGTAAGTATACATACATAAAATTATCAAAACAATAATTTTAGTAATTTTGGTACAATTTTAAATGTATATGTCTGTATCCAGATGCTTATGTATGTGTGGACTTATGTATGTATGCATGCATGCGTGCATGGATCTATACTGGCCTGAATTTTGTCAGCTCAACTACTGCAGCTTCCCCAGGATATTAAAATCTGCAATTGCTTCTGCTGGATTTAAGAAATCAACCTAGACAGAGAAATCTCTGCACAACCAACAAAACTCACCATGCCACTGAGAAGGGCTGAAGCCGCACTATTTTTGCTCAAAGAGAAAAGTGAGAAGTTGACAGTGAGCAATAAAACCTGCATCAAATTAACACTGTCCTGCATTAGTGGTGATACAGCCCTGAAGTGTCAAGAAAGAGGAGAACTTCAACACTCCTAAAAAGGGGCAGAAAATAATTATTATTCCTAGCCCTTGGCAGTTTGTTCTATTTTTATTTGGAGGTTAAGATGTCCCTTGGTTCCGAAGAATTTTATTCATTTTTTAATGTAAGAATGATTCCTGAAGAAGAGCAGTACAACACTCTGCACCACGGAGCTGGCCCCGAAGGACTGGTCATTTCCAGGTCATGAAGCTCACCTCTAGAGGCAACATTCCCTTTCGTGATTCACCTCCCAAGGAGGCTGACATTAGAGCCCATCCTACCAACTTCACAGGCCACGTCACCTACCAGCCCTTTTCCTACTTTCTTCCACATGTCTAAGCTTTTCCAGCACACCACTGTCTGATGCAGCATGCAATTTCTCTATGCATGGTAGACGCTGTTTATCACTGGTCTCCCACTCTAGGCTCTTCACATCATGACAGCAAGGGTCTCTTTCTGTTCTTTTAAAACCAAGTGTCTCAACTTCAACATTAGAGACTTTTTAAGTTACTTAGTTCTTTGCAGTGGGAGGTTGTCCTGTATGTTATAGATGTTTAGCAGCATCTCTGACTGCTACTCCCTAGGTGCTGGGAGCGCCCCCCATTTCCTTTTTAGCAATCTAAAATGGCCCCAAGAAGCAATCTCACACCTGGGTGAGAATAACTGATTTGTAATATTGTTTGAAACGCAATAAAGGCTCAATGAGTACTTGGTAGAGAACTAAAAGGGTGAATGAATAAGATGACCTGTATGTGTCTGCACGACCAGGAAGAAAAATTACACCAAAGGCCTGAATTTTTGTCTGCGCCCTGCTTCTTAGCTATATTACAATGTACTCTCTGTGCTATAGTTTCCTGACTATGACATCCAACCACTGATTCATTACTTCACTTACTCTACAAACTCTTCCTTCTTTTTGTTTTTTGAGACAGTAGTGCAGACTGGCTTTGAACTCACTGTATAGTCCAGGCTGGCCTCAAACTCAAAGTGATCCTCCTGCCTCAGCCTCTTGTGGATTACAGGCATGCACCACTACACCTGGCTGTACAAACACTTCTTTTATTTTTTTTTTTTTTGGTACTGGGAATCGAACTCATGACTTACCAGGCAGGCGCTGTGCCATTGAGCTGCATCCCCAGCTATAAACACTTCTTGAACAACTATTTTGTGTCAGACTCTATTCTAGATGCTAAGGATATGCAAAAAAAAAAAAAGCAAAACATCCCCTGATCCTATGAAGGTACAAGCTCCAGGATGAAACAGGCAACAATAACAATAAACATCAATGGACAGGATAATTTCAGGCAGTGGGAAGTTGTCCCATATGTGCAAGGAATAAAACCATATAATGTCTCAAATATTAAGCAAAAGACATGACTATTTTAGACAGAGAAAAGTCCCCTCAGAAGGGCTAATATTTAAGCTGCAACCTGTTAAAGAGCAGAATAAATATAGATAATAGGAAGTAGGGAGAGAGGTCTTCCTCACAGGGGAAGGGGGTCTGGAGAAGGAGCAGGGCGGGAGAAAGGCAAGGAAAGGGGATGAAGACGGAATGAAGATGTCCCTGTGCGCGCACCAACTCCCCGCGGGGAATGTAGACATCATGTGCTGCGAGCATGGGCTCATAACAATATTTTAAAGGCAACTTTTTCATGCAGTTAAAAAAAAAGGAGGCAGTTGTGCAAAGACATAGGAAAAACAGTTCCCATCAGAGGGAATAGCAAGCATAAAGGCTCCGTGACAGGAATTAAATTGCATTTCTAGGGGCAGCGGTAAGACACTGGAAAGTCTGAGGCATGAGAAAGACATGTTCTGAATTGGCTTTTAAGAGATCATAGTGCTGTGAAGAATAGACTGTGGCTGGGTATGATGGTGCAAAGCTGGAATCTCAGCAGATGGGAAGCTGAGGCAAGAGGAACAGACTTTGTCAGAGAAAGGAAGAAAGGAGGAAAGGGAGGGAAGGAGGAAGGGAGGGAGAGACACAGACAGAAAGGAGGAAACATGGAGGGAGGGAAGGAGAGAGCAGGAGGGAATAAACAGATAAAGGAAGGAAGGAGGGAGAGACGACGGGTGGAAGAAAAGGAGACAGAGACAGGGAGGGATTGTAGAAGCTGATGAAGCAGACAGAAGACAATGGCGGTCAAAGGTGACAAATGAACAGGAACACGCCTTGGCCCAAGGATGCCAAGGTACTGAGAGCAGTAAAACTCACAGAGGTCTCATGAAAAGAACATTGCTAAGAGATGTGAACGTCTGTTTGAGAGGTAAAACACAGCCTTTAAATCTGTCCTCCCAAACAGCTGTGCGCAGCCAGGGCACGAGGAAGAGACGAAATCATACAGTCTTGGGAAGACGATCTTGGAACCTCAGCCCTTCTCTTTTACCAAAGGGAAAATGCAAGTCCAGGAAGAGGAAGTGATTTACCAAGAACCGGTCCAGATGGCAACATTTAGGAGATGCAGAACTCAATGTTTGAAACAGATCAACATCAACGTTTGTCATATTTAAGGTTTCTAGATTCTAAATTAGTAGATGCACAATTTTTCTTTACAACCAAATAATGGGGAAATAAAAATCTAAAACACAGGAAAACCAGAATCTTGTGGCACCATCTTAGCATGCTTTTGGCTGACTTCCCTAGTCTCTATCACATTATAGTACGTCACGTGACGTCCTTGGAGTCTTAACACTGAACGCAGAAGAGTTTGTTTTTTAAAAACATATGCTGTCATATTCAAAAGCTTCCAAAACCCACACACGGAGCCAGCTATGGGAGCATTTAGGTCAGCTATTAAGTGCATTTTTAAATTTCCTTGTGCTCCATCAATGTATACATAATGCATGGTCATGGTTATGATCTAAATCAAAACAGGCTGAGAGAGCCTCTGAGAAAATCTGAAGTGCCACTTGCACCCTTCGTGTGGATACGGTCCCTCAGCCTATTTTATGGGGGGGAAATAAAAGGTTCACATCAATCTGACCCAAGACTCAAAAGTAAGTTCCCTATCCAGGGACGTGCTTCTAGAATGAGGCGACCTCAGAGGGGAGAGTCTCCGCGCGCCTCTTCCCAGGACTCGGAACGCTCTCTGGCTCTCTTCTCACCTGGAGCCCTTCCAGAAACTCGGCCCTCAGCTCCATCTGCTTGTGCCCCATCTACCTTTCGCTTTGGCTTCCTGAACCCATCAAGGAAAGGGAGCCGCTAGATGCTGCTTCTGCAGACCGCTGGCCGCTGAGAATTAGACCTTTTGCTCTAAGGCAGTTTTCTGTTTGCGGCTTCATTGTGGGGGACAGAAAATGAGAAATGGGATATTGCCCTTGAAACTTACCTACTGGCAATATCTGAATTACAGACACTGCTAAAGATCCAATTAGCTCACTAATCGGGAGGAGGGAGTGACGCCACCTTTCGACTGTCTGGTTTGGAGTTGAACTGGACGACCCTCTGAAGACCTTGCACAGTTCAAGGACAACTAATTGCTTCTTGAAATTTTAAGAAAATAACATTTGCTTTCCTCAGAGAACTCTCCAGATGCGGATCTATAATACATCCCCTAGAGATTTGCCAAACAAATACCCTACCTATTATTAAAAAAGAAAAAGTTGGGGGAGGGGGG